CCCCCCCCCCCCCCCCCCCCTGCCCCCCCTGCCCCCCCTGCCACCTCTCCCACCCTGCTGCCCCACCCCCCTGCCACCCTACCACCTCTACCACCCTGCCACCTCTGCCATCTCTGCCACCCTACAACCCCTGTGACCCTACCACCCTGCCACCTCTGCCACCTCTGCCACCCTTCCATCTCTGCCACCCTGCCACCTTGCCATGCCCTGACACGCTCCGTGTTGTCATTGTGTCATGCAGCCTGCCAGGTCTCGGGGCCCCGCACTGCAGGGCACAGCAAGGCTGTCCAGTGCCTCGGGCACCCCACTGCCCTCATGCCCCTGGTGCCACGTCTGCTTTTCGCTGCCTCGTGTCCCATCCTCCACCCACCGGAATCCCCAAGTCCTTCTCCGCAGGGCTGCTCTCCACCCACCCATCCTGCCGCGAGCGCTCCCAGGGCCAGAGGCACACGGTGAAGTTTTGTGGGGCAGGAGGGACAGAGACGCTCAGCATGACGAAACACCCACGGCAACCTGAAATAACTGTGTAATCCATCCGGTGCAGGGCCAGGGTTTGCTGTGGGGCAGCAAGAAGTTCCCCATGATGAAACACCAGCTTTGCGTGCTGACAGCCCGTGCATGGGGCATCCCCTCTGTCAGCGAAGGACCGGGCGCGCCGGTGAGATGCGAAGCGGTGAGGGGACCCAGGGGTGGGTGGAGGCCACAGGTGAAGGGGAACCCAGACCCCGAGCCCCAGCTCCCAGCCGTGCTGGTGCCTGTCCTCGCCCCGCACCTGGGTGAGCACGGAGAGCCTGGTCCCAGCAAAGCTGGGGGAGATGTGCCACCCCCATGCCGGTGGCCCCTGCGAGCTCTCGAGGTCTGCTCCTATGTCCCCGGCAGCTGATGTGGACGCTGGCGCTGGCCCAGTGGCGGGGGGAGACAGGGAGATCCCCCCGCTCCAGGGAGAGGTGCAGGCTCCCAGGGCAGGACAGGTCCTGGCGCAGCGGACGGGCCTGGGCCCAGCCCCGTCCCGGCCGGGCAGCGAAGCTCGTCCCCACCCTGGGGACTCACCGGTGACGCATCCACCGGGGAGAAAGTGGCAGGTGGGGAACAAAGGCGAGAAGGTGGGGAGTGCGTTCCTCACCCAGCAGTGCGGGACAGCCGCTTTCCCGGACAAAGGAAATGAGCACATCTGGGAGCACTGGTGGGCGGCCCTGCGGCTCCACATGTGCTGGGAAACAACAGGAAGAATGGGATGAGCCTGGAGACACGGCAGTGGGCTGGGGTCCAAAGGGAGGGACTGGGGACCGGCTTTTCTGCTCCCATCTGCAAGCTCCTTGGCCAACAACGAGCGCAGGAGAGATGCATCCAGGAACAGTCAATTACCTTGGGATTAGGACGAGCCACCAGTCCCAACCCTAACCCCATGTGCTGGGAAACAACAGGAAGAATGGGATGAGCCTGGAGACACGGCAGTGGGCTGGGGTCCAAAGGGAGGGACTGGGGACCGGCTTTTCTGCTCCCATCTGCAAGCTCCTTGGCCAACAACGAGCGCAGGAGAGATGCATCCAGGAACAGTCAATTACCTTGGGATTAGGACGAGCCACCAGTCCCAACCCTAACCCCAGTCCCAATCCCAGTCCTGACTGGGAGCAGCACTGGACCCACAGCTGGGCGGAGGAGCTGCAGCCTGCTCCCAGTCCCCAGGGCCACGGGCAGCTCTGCGGCTCTCGCTGGAGTCAGACCTGGGCTGACCCAACCCTGGGGACTCGGCAGAGAATTCAGGTCTATTTTCTGGAGCTCGCAGGTCACCCCGTGAGCCCCGAGCTGTCCCTTCCCAGGGCCCTCTGTGCAAGCTGAGTGCTGCACCAGCTGAAGGACCTGGGCGTCTGAGCTTCCCAGACCTCTGGGGGTGACTCCCCAGTGTCTGGTTGGAGGACTCCTCAAACTGGGCGGGGTGCTGGAAGCCCTCTCAGCAGCCTGTCCTGCTGCGACGCGCATCCCTCAGCCCGGCAGAGACGCTTCCAGCCAGACCCAGGACGATGCTGTTGCCGGGATGCACCCACCAGCCCACCCTCCCACCCAGCCAGCCACGTCTCCACCTGCCCGGTGCCACTGACACAGCGAGAGCCGTGCTGGGAGCCTGCGCCTGTCCGGGAGAGCTGCGGGGGCCAAGCGCC